CTGCTTCGGCCTGTCCCACCACATCCCTTCCCCAACTCAATTGATCTCACCTCCGCCCTGCTGCCTAACTGCCTTTGGGTTTTGCTGCTAGTCGTTGCTTGAGGCAGCTGTAAACAGATGCTTTGTGCTCCCAGCAATCATCCATTACAATTTTGAATTTCAATTGCAAGAACGTTCAGGTGCTTTAGTGAATGCTGAATGTTCTTTGGTGGATTTTCTCGCCCTTTTCAAAACGTAGGGTTCTTAAGCTTGTTAATAATAAGTCCTGAAAATGCCATTAACGTCTAGGTTTTTCTGCGGTTTTCTCTAAATCAGTTGGCGCAAGCTTCAAAATACTTCTCGCACAACTTTGTCACAATATTGATAAATTTTTATTGTTCTAGGACCTTCGTGCGATTAACAACATGATACTTACACGAAAAGTTGGGAAGAGACTTTTAGCAGATGATTCACCAGAAGAAGAGGGCTCCCCACCTAAACAGCCTGCTCCAGCAGTTGTAGCTCGGAAATTACAAAACTTGCTTGGAGATCGAATGGGGCAGACACAAGACTGATGGTTGAGCGTGCTATGAATTCCTACTTGCACTTTTTTCTCTATTCACCCTTATTATATTTATACACGAATGGACAGAATAGTTATTTACTTGTTGAAGTTTGGTTTTGAATTTACAACTGACAGTTTCAGTTTCCTTTTTTGTTTTTGCTATTGTGGGTTGGTTGATTTGTGTGTTGTGTGTGAATGACAGCTATTTCTATGATTGCTATAAGTCTTAGTATTTGAAAAAGAAATTTCTCGAAGTTCATTGCTTAACTAGATAACTTGATGAGACAAAAGTTCAGTGCTGTACTATACATATATATTATATATGTACATGAAGATTTATTTTCATTAAAGCACTGGTCTGACTTTGTTTTAATTTTTCACTGTAATGCCATGTATAACGGCATCATGCAAAGAGCTTTTGTGATCTTTCTCTATAATTGCAGGATTTAACATCCTTTTCATAACTGAAGAAACAGTATATGATACTGTTAACAATTATACTGATCAAATTTTACTAATTTGTATTAATAAATATTGTAAAATGGAGCATGTTTCTCTGTTTCAAAATTCATAGAAATGCTCACTTGCACCATTCACGATATTCCAATAAGTATAAGAATATATATTGGTAAAAATATTTATCATGTAGTGTTTAACAA